TCTTGGTAAAAGTATTCTCCAGCGTCTCCTCGTTCCTCGTGTGTGTGCATCGTGACAGAACAGCGGACCAAATCTGAAAGTGAGCGGCGACTTCTCCTTGCGTTTGTTTTTCCCCTTTTTTGAAAGTTTTTGTTTCCTGGTTTTTCCTCCCCGCGGCGATGGAAATTGCCGCTCGTGTCGCCGCCCTAGTTCGCCTCGATCTCCCCTTCTACGAGTACGCCAGGGACTTCTGCAAGCTCGCTGAGGTGACGGCGTTAGGGGACGCCGTCCTCAATCAGCTGTTCTGGCTCGGGGCCAACTACCATCACCCCGTGGACCTCCCAGACACCACTGGGCTAACATGGAGGAGCGTTTAATGTTTATATCAGTGGCTCAAGCGAGCCCAGACCCCATCGTCTTCGCGAGGGCGTTTGTGCCGCTCGCCCTCGCCAGCTCCCTCGAGGGGGAAACCCTCGCGACGCTGTTCCGGATCGGGATGACGTTCCACCAATTTTGTATTACTTAATTCCCCAGTTAAGCCCAGGGAGGGCTCCTGTTTCCCCGTTAAGCCCAGGGAGGGCTCCTGTTTCCGATGTCAGCATAGGGAGGGCTCCTGTTTCCTCGTTAAGCCTAGGGAGGGCTCCTGTTTCCGATGTCATCCCAGGAAGGGCTCCTGTTCCCCAGTTAAGCCCAGGGAGGGCTCCTGATCCCCAGTTAAGCCCAGGGCCTGTTCCCCAGTTAAGCCCAGGGAGGGCCCCTGTTCCCCAGTTAAGCCCAGGGAGGGCCCCTGTTCCCCAGTTAAGCCCAGGGAGGGCCCCTGTTCCCCAGTTAAGCCCAGGGAGGGCCCCTGTTCCCCAGTTAAGCCCAGGGAGGGCCCCTGTTCCCCAGTTAAGCCCAGGGAGGGCCCCTGTTCCCCAGTTAAGCCCAGGGAGGGCCCCTGTTCCCCAGTTAAGCCCAGGGAGGGCCCCTGTTCCCCAGTTAAGCCCAGGGAGGGCCCCTGTTCCCCAGTTAAGCCCAGGGAGGGCCCCTGTTCCCCAGTTAAGCCCAGGGAGGGCCCCTGTTCCCCAGTTAAGCCCAGGGAGGGCCCCTGTTCCCCAGTTAAGCCCAGGGAGGGCCCCTGTTCCCCAGTTAAGCCCAGGGAGGGCCCCTGTTCCCCAGTTAGGCCCAGGGAGGGCCCCTGATCCCCAGTTAGGCCCAGGGAGGGCTCCGAGGGCTCCATTAAGCCCACGGAGGGCTCCAGATCCCCCGTTGAGCCCAGGGAGGGCTCCTGTTTCCCCGGTTTCCCCGT